TTTAGCAATGTACCAAATATCGAAGAGGATCAAACCGTGCTATTCAAATATTTTTGGTCTTTTCAGATCGATGAACGTTTGATTTTCTCTTTTAACATGGACTGTATAGATTTTAAAATCGGAAGTTTTATTCACAATTAAATATAAACTTTTTAAATATATAACTAATGATTAAATCAAAAAAATTGACGGTTCGCAAAGTCAGGGACGGATGGAAATAAGAATCACTCCAGTCTGGAAATATACATGTGAAGATTTTTGGATGTCCTTCCGAATATTTGGTACGAATTTCTTTTGTGCTTGCTAAATGTTTGATGTAGTGCATGCTAGGCATATTTGACGTACTGCGTCGATAATATTCGACAAATTTTCTATACCGTTTTTGACGTATGCTAATATTGGTTGACACGTGCATAACAAGCCCACCAAATGAATAAACTGATTTTTTTTTTCTATGCACTTTGCGCTCTGTTCCTATGTAAACTTGTATTTAACATTGAGACCCTCTTAAAGTTCAAATATTGGATCTGCCATGCAAACGGAGCTACATATTAGTCTTTAATCACATGCTAATCAAATTCATTTGATGAATAGTCATCCGTACGTGGGAAAGTTGAAGAAAAGTGATTCGTGCGTGGGAAAGTTGAGGCAAGCAAGCGAGGCAAACACCAATGAGAAGAGGAGGCTTCATTAAAATATCCCAAAAGCCAGTCACAGAGTCCAGTCGGTCAAAATAGTCGATCCTCCCTCCTTAGTCTTCCCCTTCCCAATTTTCCCATCTCCCTCCCAATCCTCCCTCAACCCGATTCCCAAACATCCACTCATGGATTTCCTTCAATCCCAACTCCGATACATCAATTCCCAAACAGAAGAATCCGCACCGATCGACCGGTCCCGAATCGCCAAGGACATTCTCCTCCAAGCCGGCCTAATCCTCGTCGTCGTCGTCGCCTTCCTCTCCATCCACAACATCCCCCAAAAGCTCATCGCCAACCTCCGCTACCGCTTCCGCAACAAACCCGCAGCCCAAGCCAAGCGCCACTTCGTCCTTGGCGCCCAGCTCCTTGGTCAGTCCCGATCCGCCAACTCCCGCTCCTCCACCGCCTCTCTCTCCCAGCAGGCCCTCGACGAGGCGGAGAAGGCCATCGCCCTCGACCCCAAGGACGCCGCCGCCCACATCCTCAAAGCCCTCGCCCTCGACGCCCAGGGATACAAGACCTCAGCCCTCGACGCCATCGACGTCGCGCTGTCCCCTCTCTGCCGGAAGAGCCTGACCGAAGAGGATCGCGGGGATGCGCTCGTCAAGAGGGCGGAGATCAAGCTGTCGATGAACCGGAAAGCCCGGGTTGACTCGGTGATCGAGGATTTGACTCGGGCCGTGGAGCTGAGTCCGGAAAATGTGAAGGCGTTTTGTACGTTGGGAGAGTGCTACGAGGGGAAGAAGATGGCGGAGGAGGCCAGGAAGGCTTACGAGGCGGCGCTGAAGGTCCAGCCCAGATTGAAAGCCGCCATGGACGCTCTGGAGCGACTCGGTTCGGCTTAAGGCGAAGCTGGGCTCGGGTTGAGTTCGGATTCCGGTTTTTTATATTTCTGTTTTGTAGTTTCAAATTTGTGGTATTTCGTTTATGATTATCTGGGGATTTTGTAGCTACTTTTACTAAACACGGTGGTGCATATGAAGGATTATAAATTATGAGTGTAAATGACCTTGATTTACATGTTTTTTTTTAGGAAATTATTTCAACACGAACGTGTTAATTTTTGAACTTATTTTTAGCTACGGTTCTGAAACTCAACTTTGAAAATAAGAGTGTAAAAATCATTTTTCTTATCAAATTTTCAATTCATTAGAGTTTGTGAAATTCTTTTGTTTTTTTGTTTTGTATTTGTTTTGAACAGTGTGAAATTCTTTTGTTTCACTAATCTAAAAGTAAAATGGAGTATAAAACCAAATTGAATGGTTCAATCAATATATGACATTTGGTAGTTGGTGGCGGGGAGTAATGATGATGGGTGGTGCAGGCGGTGCTGGTGGTGAGGTGGTGGCCACAACGATGGTAGGTGGGGGTGATGGTGGTAGTGGTGGTAAGGTGGGCATGTAAGAGTGAAATTGGTGCCATTTTGCGTCGATTGATAGAAGCTAAGAGGAAGGACTTGAGGAATTCAACAGAGAATTATAACCTGCACTATGAGTGCTAAAACGGCGATAACTTTGTCCACGTAGCTTGGAATTGAATTGCGCAAAATTCTACAGAAATCTGACATCCGTATCTTCGTGATGGAGTACGACACGAAATCCACGTAGCTCGGATTTGTAAGTGCTTGTTATTAAGCTACTTTATGTTCCAGATTTGAAACCGTTCTGTTTTCTGAAAAATTTCGGAAAAATAGTAACATTGTAGCTCTACGTCTCAGCTGTCTAGGTTTATATGAAACTCCACTTTTCCCACAGCCATGCAGTTATGACAGGAACATAGCTTCAGTTGTCTTCGTTCGAAAAATTGAAGGATTTTGAAATTTGGACACAACGATCTTCATGGTCTTAGCCTTCGTCTCCATTTGTCTTTGTGTTTGAATGAAGTTCATAGGAGAAGTCGACTTTCGTTAACAGTCATCCAGGTGCACATAATGGGTTTAAGGCACGACTACATTGTCCCCAGAGCTTTGCGAACTCTAGCTCCAGTCGAAGTGCAAGTGTTAGTGAACACCGATTGAGTTGCATGAAAAGCTTATTGTAGACTTTAGACGAGTAATCTATGAGTCGAACTTGCAATGAGGTATTGGTCCGCATAGAACCAAACCCGCTTTGCTCATTGGCTTGGAAGTATGATCATTGTTCTGTTTTGGAATTGGTGCTTGTGCTTTTTCTAGGGTGACTTGCCCCCAATAAATTTCTATAGAAGATTCATCTTGTCCCTATATTTGTTTTATACCCATTTTATACCGTGGTTGTCCATATTTAGGGACTCCACTGAAGATACTTTAATAATATTGGAATGGAGTCAAGCTAAAGCATCTTAAGATCATCTCCAAAAGAGATTTCAAATTTTAAACACAAAATTTAAATTTGAAGGCTTATGTGACACATTGATGTTTAATCTTTTTGTAAATTTTGTTCTCCGACTAATATGTCAAATTTAAACTATTATTAATTACATTATTTACTTTTCATAATTGTAATTAGTATTTTAAAACAAATGACAAAACAAAAATTATAAAAAAAAAATTATTATCCACTAGAAATAGATTTGAAGCTTTTGTCAAATTTAACAACAACCCCTCTGCTGCCATTACATGTCATGCCACATAGGAATTGACATTTCGGTTGGAAAACACTAGTGCTTGTCTTTTTTTACCGTTATTGATGTTGTGGATATTTTGACATCTCCTTTAAAGATGCTCTTAATCAGATAGTTCAAAAGTTTAACAAAAAGTCAAAATCCTGTGGAAGTTTAGTTAAAAAAATTGCAAGATAGGAGGTGGGGATTCTAATTTCTCTTAAATTTAAAGTGAAGTAGATTTTAGTGAAATATAAAATACAAAACGATGCCTTAGAATGACAACTATTTATATCGAATTTAAAGTCGAGAATTGTTGCCTTCAAATTCAAAGGTTTTTTTTTTTTTTTTTTTTTTTTGTGGCAAGGAATTTCTAACTTATGTGATCATGAATCCAAGGAAATTGGCGCATATAAATTTAAAATTTAGACTTTTTTTTTCTTTTAAGGCCCCTTTCGTATTTTTTTTCTTTTACAAAAAAACTGCTTCACTTTAAAATTAAGCAATAATAAAGGATGTGGAAAAAATAAATATCATGCTTATTTTAAAAACAAAGGCCGCCAGACAACAACTTTTAAAAGCAACATGTAGGTTACTTTTAAAAGTTGGTTTTTAATAAAAAGCAAAGTTGAGCCCTTAATGAGTATCTCAATTCCAGTAAAACCCTCGTTAGTTTTTAAAAATGACATTGTTTAACCTTCTACACTCATTTTTTCTCTTAGAGAACAAAATCACTGCCAGCACTTAACACTACAAACACTAACTTTACACCACCATTGTTGTTGCCACCACCGCCACCACCACCATCACGATCGCCACTACCGCCATTGCCACCACCACTGCCCCCATCACCACCATAACAACAGCCGCAACCACAAACACTAACTTTACACCACCATTGTTGTTGCCACCACCGCCACCACCGCCATCACGATCGCCACTACCGCCATTGCCACCACCATTGCCACCATCACCACCATAACAACAGCCGCAACCACTATCATCACATCCACAACCGTCAATAATGCCGCCTGAAAGTTTGTGAATACATAGTACTACTTCGCCTGAAAATTATTATTGAATGTGTGTATAGTATGAAATTTGTGAAGAAATAGTATATGAATAATTAGGACAAGTATCTTATCCTCTTAAACACGAATTTGCACAAAAAGAAACCAAAAAATAAAAAATAGAAAAACTCGTGACCCGAATGAGCTTTGACTACCTTCTAAGACTAACAAATATAGAGAAATGACCATCTTTGGTGTGCATGCATGCATGTATGAAAGTTAACAGACAAGATTAATCCAGATAAAGAACAAGGTTGGATAAACAAGTCCCATGAATATCAACAAAAATTGCAAATTACAAAATTTCTTTTGCTAATAGAATCTGCCCGAGATTTGATATTATCCTACAAATGTAATAACTCACCAATAAATTTCCATTTATGTGAAAATTCCATTTCCTTAACAAATATGGAATATAAGAAATTCAGTGTATGAATGAATTCAGCGAATATTGCATGATAAAAAACAAAAAAAAATCTTCTCTAATATAGTAGCTTGATGATTGTCCATCCAATATGTACCATACGACACAAAATCTCCTGAATTAATTCTCATTCAAAACCATATCTCCCAGGTGAGTAAGGTAGCCCTTTTCTTGCTATATATAGAGCATCGGCTGTTTCTGGTATATCATAGCAAACCCTCAAAAGCTTCCTTCTTCTCTAGATTGTGCTCTCTTCTCATCTCTGACGAGCCATGACTAGAAAGAAAGTAAAACTAACCTACATCAGCAACGACTCGGCGCGAAAGGCAACGTACAAGAAGAGAAAGAAGGGCTTGATGAAGAAGGTGAGTGAACTCAGCACCCTTTGTGATGTTCAAGCATGCGCGATTATTTACAGCCCGTATGACTCTCAACCGGAGGTCTGGCCATCGCCGTTGGGAGTCCAGCGGGTTCTTGCCCAGTTCAAGACCATGCCGGAGATGGAGCAGAGCAAGAAGATGGTGAACCAAGAGAGTTTTCTGCGGCAGCGGATCGCCAAGGCCAACGAGCAATTGAAGAAGCAAAGGAAGGAGAACCGCGAGAAGGAGATGACGAGAGTGATGTTCCAGAGTCTGACTGGGAAATCCCTCCAGGGTTTGAGCATGGTTGATTTGCATGATTTGGGGTGGCTGGTTGACCAAAATTTGAAGGAGATCCACAACCGGATGAAGAGTCTGAATGATCAGGAATCTAAGAGCCAAGTGCAACTACAACCAACGGTGCTGCCTGCAGCTGCTGCAACAGCGGCGGAGGGTGAAGTGGAGAGGCAGCAGGGTTTTGCGCTGAACAATAATGTGGACACCGCAGTGCAGAGGCAGCATCAGCCATGGTTCATGGACATGATGAACGTCCCACAAGATTATCAGCAGCAGCATATGGCAGGGCTTGGTGGTGGAGATGAGGTGCATATGCTGCCATTTCCAGCGGATCACAGCCAAGTTAATGCAATTTGGTCTAATAATTCCTTTTACCCTTAAGTTGCTTCTGTATTATTATTTTTATAATTCAGCCTCGAACCACAGCAGGGTTTTAATCTCGAGGCATGGAAGCAGTGTGTTGGTCTCTCTCTGTTTTTTTATATGTAATAAAAGTAGATCACATCAAATGATCGTTTCAACTTTTAATTCTAATATTAGTATATTATATTTGTATTCTTCAATATTATTTGATACCATCAACTTATTTCATACATTTGAATACATAAATGATCTCTTATTCAAATGATTGTTTATAATAATTATCTTTAAATGAATATTAAGAAATTAAACAGTTTTTAATTACAATATTTATACAGTGAAGATTCTTTATTCATTAAGAGATATATGTACATATGAAAAGACAATCTTTATTATAATAGAACCATGATATTCTATAAATAAAGAATAATACTTGGCTACTCAAAAAATGAGTAGGAGTTCTTATTCAAAATTGTTGGTTTCTAGATCAAAGACGTTCGTGTTTATGATTCATACTATTTATATTATAAAATCACTCTATACAAATCATATCTGGAAAAAAATCCATTAAAACTAAGGTTCTTTAGTCATCAAATTATATAATAACAAATAAATTGAAATAGTAAAAGTATTACGAATCGTCTATCTATTTGCCACAGTTGATTAACTTGACGACCTTAGTTCTAATTCATTTTTTGTAGAGATGATCTTGACATAGTGATTTATAATATGAAAGGTTCAAATTATAAGCACAAAGTTCTGTAAATAAAAAATGATAATTTCGAATAGGAGTTCCTACTCATCCTTAAGTAGCCAAACATATGCATGAAGAAAAATAACCTTCAAGTAGTCTTAAACAATTGTGGTCCCAATTTGGCCAGTTATATATAAGAATAAACTCTACATTATAAGTTATAATTTTCTAGGTGCCGTCTTAAGAAACTTGGCCACATAATAATAGTTGTCAATAACTAAAACCATATGCGATATTGTTACAAATAAAAATTTAACATGAAATAAACATTTTTTCTGGAATGAGAAATAAAATATTTACAAATTGGGTTGTCTCTTTTTCAAATGTCACAGCTTGGAATTAGAATGCTCAACTACTGATGTAGTTGTTTGTATCCGTAACACATTCATTAAGGATAACTAAGTAAAAAACACCTCTATTTGTACGTGGTCCAATGCTCTAGTGGATATAGTGTTGAGTTTTACTCATGGACCTCGGGTTCGAAACTCCCAGTCACTCCTCTAATTCCCCTCCCCTTAATAATGGTAATAATAATAATTTTAATTAAAAAACCTCTATTAAGTAATAACCTCCCTATAGTTATAAAATTGATTGAATCTTAGCATTATGACTATATTGTTGCAGTCATATTTAGAATAGGAATGTGATCGTGTAAATTCTAGTGTATATAGAGATATCTTGGAATATTCTCTTTAGTAGTTAATATCCTATTAGAGTTGTAATTGTAAAAGGGTAAGGATTTAACCTTTCCTACTACTATAAATAAAGGTACAATGGGGTGATACAACACACACCTCATAATTAAATCTCTCTCTTCTCTCTCTCTTGCCGCCGGCCTCTCTCCCTCTCTAGTCCTAAATACAGTTCATTCAAACAAACCTACAAAATTCAAAGGCTTTTCTTTGTTTTCTTCCAATCAGGTACGCTTAAAATAAAGTAAGATATTTGAAACATCAACGAAGCATGAAAACATTCCCCATGATGTATGAACCCCCTATATTTATATTTTTCTTTCTATATATGTATTGTATATGTTTCATATATTTGTCAATATATATATATATATATACGTTTCATGCATTATGTAATTATTTTGCTACGTGGAATTTGTGAGTCAAAGCATATAAATAAATTAGAAGCAATTTAGGATTTTCAAACCCTAGATATGTCGAAAAAAAAAAAATTTAATGTGGCACGACTGTGGCTCGCCACCGCACCGCTGTAAGAACCATCACCGACCACTGCAGTTGGCTTGTAGCCTAGCTGCGTGGAGCAAACATGGGAACGATGTTGTTTGAAGCCTTGGACCACACGGCAGTAACCCTTTGGGCTATGCTACTCACGCCAGACAACCCAGGCCTTAGGCCTGATAGGGTAATCACGAGCCTTAGCCCAAATCAAGAAAGCCTGGAGCTTTCTTGGCATTGTCCTGCGCGTCCCTAGCCTAACTCCAGCAGCCCAAAGTTGCTAAGCCTTTCTTGACCCATGCCTAGGCTACATGGCCCAGAGGCCTGCAGCCCTTCCATGGCCCAAATAACTGTAGCCGAGCTGCAAGGCCTGTCTTCGCATTATTTTTTCGACCTCATGCCAATTTTTTACATCCTCGCGTTATAAATCATGCCCAAATAATTTTTTTTTGGGTGCTTTGGTTTACGCTAATTAATTCTAATTTAATTATCACTTGATTTATCACCAACCGAAGCTAATATGACCTGTCTGTCATTATTTTGCTTCCATGATTAGCCCCGTTTGGTCCCGATCTAATGAATTAATTAAAAGTGACATGCAGTCCATTAATCTGATAATTAATCCAAAATTATTAACATGAAGATCACTTTTGGACATTAACAATTCAATAATTTATTTTTCTATTTTGAACCGTTGACAACCTTTCGTAGTCCTGAATCACTTATACTTGAGTTCTCGAAGCAACTAAAATACACTACACTTAAATCAACATATTGCATTTTGTGTTCTTGCAGGAACTTCTCATTTATGAACTAATCGTTCATAAAACTAAATTGAACCTGTAAGTTTTCATTCAAAACTTACCACATGAAACTTGTAGCTTTCATGTTTAAATTAAATCAATACATGTCTATAGAACCTGAATGTTCTATGATGTATGTCTATAGATTACCATATGACTAACCATGTTGTACCCTCTGTTTTAGGGACATGTCAAACTTGAACAAGCTCGATTTCACAGCTTTAGAAGTATCTGGAAGAAACTACCTGAAGTGGGTTCAAGATGTGAAGCTCCGTCTTACTACAAAAGGTATTAGAGCCATCATCGAGGCACCTATCGACGCTAACCCTGTTAATGAAGCTCAGAAAACTATTGTAATGATCTTCATTCGAAGACACATCAATGATGCACTCAAGATCGAGTACCTCGCTAAAGAGGACCCACACACCCTTTAGCTTGCTCTGCTGATCATTTCAATCACCAGAAAGTCATTTACTTGCCCGAAGCAAGACACGACTGGCAGCATCTACGATTCCAATACCTTAAGTCCGTGAATGAATACAACTCTGAAGTTTGTAGAATCCGACCACTGATTAAGTTCTGTAAAGTGGACTTATTAGATGTAGATCTCTTGGAGAATATTTATTCAACCTTCCATGCCACTAATATTGTCTTGCATCAACAATATAGGGCACATAAGTTCATCAATTTTTCCGATTTGATCTCTTTTTTACTTCTTGCTGAAAAGCAGAACCAACTTTTGATGAAAAATCATCAAGCTTGACCCACTAGCATGAACGTTGCTCCTGAAATGCATGCGACCAATTCTAGCAGCCATAAACGGTGCAAACATGGTAATGGGTGGCAAGCCCACCCATGGGCCCAAGGTCAACAGAGCCAAGGCTTACCTAAAGGAGGAAATTTGACCCAGAATAGCCAGCATCTTGCACCTAAGGCCCCAAACTTCAAGAATAAGGGAAAAACTACCATTCAATCGCCTTCCACTGAAATGGACATGTGCTACCATTGTGGATCAAAGGATCATTGATCACGCGCAAGGAACAAAATGCCGATAATATCGGTGATATATCGCCGATATTATCGGTTTTTCGGCCGACTGATATTTTAATAGGTATCCAAGGGGTTTTCGTCAAAATATCGTGATATTATCGCAAAATTTCAGAACTGTGCAAGTCAGAGACGAACGCCGGAGCTTCTACAGCTCCGGCCGACTGTAAAACAGCCCCTAGACTCCGATCTAGGTATGAAAATGAAATAGAAGACGAGAGGAACGTTTTTATAACGTCCGTTTGCCGTGAAACGGTCGGAGGTGTTCGGAAAGTTCGTCGACACCCACGGCCTTGCCGGAGATGGGTGTGCCTATTCCAGAGCCGATTTCATCCCAAAAACCTTGCAAAAACACGAGATACAACTTCAATTTCACATCTAAGCTTCGATCTAGAACAAAAAAAGAAAAATCCGAAGCTTACCTAACCAGAGAAATTGAAGGAACTCGCCGGAGCAGGTGCGATGGTGTGCGTGTGGGTCTCGGTGCAGAGAGAAATGAGAGGTGTATGTGGGTCTCGGTGTAGAGAGAAAGGAGAGGGAGGAGCAGAAGGCCGTGGTGTGTGTGTGGGAGAAGGGAGAAGAGAGATCGAGAGAGATCGAGAGATCTGTGTGTGTGTGTGTGTGGGAGTGGAGAATGGAGAGAATAGAGAAGGATCGAGAGAGAGAGACAGAGGTCTGTGTGTGTGATTGATAGGATTAAAAGCACACCATAAAGTAGCACACAAATATCCTATTGATTTTCCTTATTAACAATAAGATTGGTCAGTTGTAGCATATGAAAATAAGGGTCTTTCCTGCAGAAGATTGTTTGATCTAACTACTTAAAATATCACAAAAACTGGTTGATGTCCCTACTGACCAGCCACTGAAAAATAATTATTAGACCGACTTATGCTTATCTAAAGTTTACTAAATTTTATATGACAACACTAGACACACAGAGCTACACTCACACAAATTTTTGGAGTTGATTTTCTATTTAAATTAAATTGAACAAAAACAGGACAGAAACAAATTTTAAATAGTTCATAAATTAAGAAAAACGAGTTAGGGGAATTGCTATCCACCACCAAATAATCATGCAAACATGTATGTTTCATTCAAATTCCTTTTATTTCCGGATGAAGATGCTCAAGTTGGCTCAATGTTAGAACTCAACCTATTACTCTTTCTTACGTAGTATGTTAAGAGAATGGCGTTTTCAACTTAACTTAGTCCCTAGTATGTAATCTAGAATGGCGTGTTCATAGATTTAACAAGTAGAAATCATTAAGAACGAAAAGAGTTTGAGTCA